AGAGAGTCAGCGATCTGAGTCAATGGCACTGTCCGACTTATCGGACCTTAGCTTAATCAGATGAACTCACCTCAAATGAATACGCGCCGTCCTGCATGTGGTAATGTCAGCGCGGGGTCTACTTAGGTGATTCGGATCAAGAGTATACATCTACCTGCCAAGGAAGCCGCGGCATATGTCACGGTTGCTTCGGCGGTAATGGTAGCGCGAGGTCTGGCTGATTCGGACTTCTTCTTAGAGTATATGTACACACCCGTCAGGGGAGCTGTGGCATAGAGCGCGAATTTGCGGCTGGTTCGTGTAATGGTCGTGACTTTGAGTCCGTGTACTAGGTGTCTCTGTCTAAACTTTGAATGTTAGATTACGACCCATCACTGGTAAGTCTCATACATATTGCACTGACGGAAGATTCAGTGACGACGTGTGACGCGGGAAAACTGACCTAAGAAGCCTATCATTTCAGGAGACACCGCTCAGGCATCATGCTTGCAGACTGTATCAAATAATGTGATTAGGTTCGGATCTGACATCCTTCGTTCCAATCAAGTATGACTTACAATCAGACACTGTCGAAAGGCTAATACAACAGCTAACTCTGTGGCTCCCATGCTTCCCTGATTGGCCATTCCGGGTTCCTCGCAGTTACGGGAAATGTCCACACCTCAGCCTGTCGCGTGGGTCAGTAAGCGGGCCGTACCATACTAGATGACCGAGACACATACAAGTCAGGAACCTCGCCTGTACTGAGGCCACGTCATGTAGTTAGGCGCAAGCACCAAGACGGTGCCAATGTGCCAGCACAACACCCTATTGAATGTTAGCGCTGCCAGGTATAGAACATAACCGTAGACTGACAGGGCATACCATTCAGTCACAGGTTCCCAAATCGTGATCATGAACTCAGACGGGCATTCGAGTCGCTGTTCGCAGTCATAGTAGGTTCGGTCGGACACTTGGAAGTGTCCAACGCGTAGTGGGCAAGCGCTTAGGAGATCGCATCGGTACCACACCTCGGGCGCTCAGCGCTCAGCGTTCAGCTGCGCAGAGTTGAGTTTTGGGTACATGTATGTAGACTGCGTGGCAGCTCGGGGAAGCGCGTGATTGTTCACCATGAGTAATTAGCTATGGGTGGATACTAGGAGACGTATCCCACTGGGCACATCTCTCTGCGAGACGATGGGATGAGACTCATGAGACAGAGATCAAGGTATGGAAGTCGTCGTGAACTAGATGCACGACACTGCCAAATCTCACGTAGTGACCACTGAACCAGTCCGTACTGTAATCCAATTGAAAGCTTCGCCGACCGAAAGGATTAATCCACGACTAAGGTACGAGTTCCTACAAGGTAGCACCTAGAGTCATATAGTGACTGACATCCGCCCACGCCTTATGACACTTTGTCCTCATTGACTCTCGTATGTCAGCCTGACGGTGAGCATACACAGCCAGCCCCTCCCGGTACTCTGCTGAGAGGCCCTCCCAGCCATGTGCCCGCTCCTGCCACCAGCCTTCTTGCCATTCGTAGAACTGTAGAATGCGTCGCATTTCCTCTTCAAGTAGTTGACACTCTTCTGTAAACCGATGGGCTCGTGCGCGAGCCTGACACCACTCGATTCGTAGCCCTGCATGCACAAAGAAAGAGTCAGTCTTCGTCGTACACACTCATTGCATCAGTAAAACATGAAATCTGTCTGACGGCGCTGTCAGGGACTTCAGAGGCGCTCAGATCGCTTCAGATCGCTTCAGATCGCTCCAGATAATCAGCCCTCATGACCTCGGATTTTTGCAACGTAACTTCGTCAGACACGATCCTCAGACACGTCAGAAAGCCTCTCAGACATCTCAGCTCAGCAGACATCTCAGCCAGGACATTAATAAACGAGCTAAAAGATATATTGTTATACTGATCACTGTAATACTACACGGACACTACACTATGTTCGCGCGAGCTACTTACATGCACGTCAAAGCTTCCGTTCGTCCGGCTGGAGTCGATGCACAGCAAACTGGTCGACATCGGTCACACTTGCCATCCACGTACTCTCGCTTGTCTACCTACTGCGTCCACCTCTGCTGCAATCCCCAGTACGCAGACGTCTTCGCTGCAGGTTCTGACGCGTACTTGCGGTCGTCTGCACTCCTCGTGGTACTAGTACGTGTCTCGTCCTCTTCCGAGACGCAGCTCACAACGTCGTGTGCAGCCCTGCATCTTGCGTGTATCGTCGGCCCCGAGCGACTCGACTGCACGTCGATACCGGACACGTCTTCAGTGTGCCGGTGAGTGTCCTTCCTTGCTGCTCTCGCATACGCAGCTGACTTTGTTCTCCCGCGTCCTGCAAGCGAGGACGAACCGGTCACCCCGGAGCACCGCCTTGCGGCGGAATGGAGCCACGAGTCGTGAGATACAGCAGCGGGTACAGGCACGGAATGTACGTACCTCGTCGTGATGCATCTCCTCCACTCACGAATGCTCTGCGTGCGCGAGTGCCTCTGCAATCCGCAGCGTCATCCGTCCCTTCGCAGCACACGACGGTGTTTCCTGACGCGAGACAGGGCGGCCACGTCCAGTCCTGGCGTCGTCACCGGACACGTCGACTCCGCGGCACCACGAGCTGCCCTCCGTCGTTCTCGGCATGCCGGGTGGTGTTAGCTCGGTATGGAGGGTCGGTGCGCACGTCGAGGGCACGGGAAAGCGGGGAGACGAGGCGGGCTGCTGGGGCTCTGGGTGTCCTGAGACACAGACGCCGTTGGGTGTTCGAGAGGGAACTAGATAGCGTGCATCAGGGCGGGGTATGCAGGACCTCCGCGAGGCTCCAAGTCTGATCTTGGGACGTCACCGGAGCTTGTCACGGGTCTTGCGGCTGCGTAGTGGACGGGGACGAGGACAGGCTGGCCGCCGCCGTCTGCGCCTATGCGGGAAAAGGACATGCGGGCGTCGGCAGCGCGGATGTCGAGGGTGTTTGGATTCAGGATGTGGCTGAGTCGAGGACGTCGATGTTGCGGAGGGCGTCAAAGAGGAGCGAGGCGAGCTGGTTGGGCGACTGGCTCCCGAGGACCATGGGGCCCTGCAATCTTGGGGCGCCTCCGTTGTGTTCGTCTCCGTCCGGTCGTCCTTGCTGGGCATTCGCTTGCCGGGGTTGACTATGGGGTCGAGGTACAAAGCGGCGGACTCACCTGGCCGTAACCCCTCCTCCCTACGTGTGCATCCCTTCGCGAGCCTCCAGCGATGCTCTTGGCGCGTCGCTGGAGCTCGTTGGCCCCGGTCGCGTACAGCGCGATCTTGGGCCGTGGTCCGGTGCACGCGCCGTCGCTTGCGGACGCGCCTGCCGTGTGTACTGGAGATCAGCGGCGAGCAAGCGAGGGCGAAGTTGTGACAGAGAGGCAGGAGGCAAGAGACTCGACGCTCTGAGTCGAGAGGAGCGGCGAGCGCGCGTGACGTGTCGTGGCTGAGGCGCTTTGAGGCGCTTAGCACTTCAAGTTCTCGCGCATCCTCCACGTCGGCGTCGACTCGACGACACCCTCTTGCGCACTAATAGCTCGCAGCCTCGCCTGGTAACCTACTCGCTCGCACGCTCGTACGCTCGCCTGCCCACCCACCAGCGCTGTCTCTCGCCCACGCTCCCTTTCGCCCGCGCGTTCACTCTGGCCCGCAATCTGGCCTGCCCGCCCGCCTGCTCGCTTGCTGCCCGTTCGCCCACTTGCCCCGCTCTCGCTTGCTCTTGCCCACGCTCCTTCTCACCCGCCTACCTGTGAAACCGCAAATCCGCCTTCACTCGCGCGAAACCTGTACCCGGGCGAGTTATGGGTACGGGTCGAGCTCGGTATACCCGTGCTCGGCCCTACGACGGTCCAAGCGGGGCACTGGTGACGCGTCAAGAGGGTCGCCATGGCTGCGAGAGGGGTGGGAAGGCAAGGCGTGAAGGGTGCCATGGTCAGCAGGGACGCAACGAGGTAGGTTCCTGCCTTGCATTATCTCCACACCCGGACAATCCTGGTAAGTACGAGTTCGGACGACGCCCACAAGAACTCGCCCAGGACGACCCCGCAAGCGCCAACCCGACTGCAGATGTATTTAGCGAGCAACCACCCACCTATGACGACCCCACCCAGCAAGAGGGTGTTCGAGGACAAGTCCTTCGAGGGGATTTGTGCCCAGGATGAACGCCATCAGGCACAGATTACCCATGTCCGCGTCGCCGTGTTGATAACGCGTCTGAACACGACGCGCTCTGTCAACAGTTGTGCTAGACCGCAAGAAGGGCTCGGGTGCTGGTCAATCGGACCAGCACGGTAGGTGAGTCGACCGCGTCTCGTCAGTTCCGCGCAGAGCTACTCAACAACAACCCCAGCGCCGACGAGCGCAATGGGTACCAGCCCGCCGAACACGTGCTCAACGAGCTCCAGTGGAATAAGCGAGAGCCGGCCGAGGATGAGCCCGGCAAGCAAGAGCATGCGCCCTCGCCCGGGCCGCATGAGTGGGATAGCAGACAGCGCAAGTGAGATGGCAGACGAGACGGCAGACAGCGCGAGAGGGTGAGTAGATGGGGTGGGCAAGATGACAGACGGGGCAGACGAGACGGCACACGGGTCGAGAGAGGGTACATGGGGTGGGCGAGTCGGCAGATGACACAGGCGAGACGGCAGAGACACGAATGAGGTCCTGGTAGACAACACGGGCGAGACAGCAGACGGTGCGACCCATGAGCTTGTGTCGACGGCAACTATCTGCTTTAGTGTAGTTCCCCACTATGTATTCTCTGTGTACAATGCTCTCGAGTTGTCGATATACGAGTAGTGATTCTATGGCTACTGCAATTATTAGGAATTGAATAGATGAGTTTTTAGATGCAGACAGTACTACGACCTCGTTGGTTCATTGAGCTGTCTGACAAGATGAGGAATCTGAGCTATCTGATGCTCTGGTCACTCTGAGGGGTCTCCGTCAGCCTCTCAGATGCTCAGAAATTGCCCATTTTGCTGATGTGCAGCCCATTGGATCACGTACTCTCCTCTTCATCCTCGTCATCATCTCCGCTTTGCGCCCCTTTTGTTGTCCATATCCATGAAACTGTCCGCGTCCCTTCAGTCTGCTCGTCCTCTGCCTCTGGGTCCGGTTCGGACATGTACCGTACATCGTTGTCCACCAGCTGCTGTAAGCCCGTTTCCCTCCTCCAGCTCGTCTTGCCTAGGGCGGGAGCAAGCTTCGTGAGCGCGCTGTAGCAAGCGTTGTACTTAGCCCTGATCTGAGTAATCTTCTCCATACACCTGTCGATGGCGCCGCGCGCGCGTGTGTTGTGGTACTGACCAGTGACGAAAGAACTCTTGAATTGTAGTAGTTTCTTCTTCGCGCTGAGAAGTCGGCGGATGTCCTCAAGCGCATCATGCGCGAGCCCAACGCGTAGCTCCCACTCGATGTCCTGCAACTGGCCTTCAACTGTCATGAGGTCGACGACCTCAGACGGGAGATAGAGGGAGATATCCTCCGCTGGTGGGGCGATATTCAACGCGGTGTCACGACTCCGTTGCGCAGCGACGGTTGGCATGTACAGATGCTGAACTGCCTGCCACGCCTCGATCGTGCGGAATAAGCTGTTGCGGGCGATGACAACATCACCCTTCTGTAGGTCTGTTGCACGCGAGCCAAGATTGGCTTTCTTTGCCTTGAGCCTGCGTCTGCAACGATTTGAGTTCACTACAAGTATAATAGGCGAGCGAACTCACTGCTCTTCTTCGTGGTCGAGGCCTTGTGAAATGAGAGAGTAAGGCGAGATGACGTCGAGAAGTGAAGTGGAACTCCGTGCTTGCAGTTCTGCAGATTCACGCTCGGCCAGCTTCAACCGGACGGCCGCCAAAGTAACAGCTATGGTCTTGTATTGAGAACGCACGCACAGTAGAACAAAAGACAGCACTCACGTCTGCGTGTGACGGCAAAGGGGTTGGGGCATGTGCCGTCTGTACCCGACTCCCAGGTCTCCACTTGCCTCTGCCAGTCCATCTTATGGGCTGGATTCATTCCATCGTCCAAAGCCTCGAAGGCGAAGACGTACTTGCTGCGTTTGTCGATTGCAACTTTCACCTTGTTCAGTATGGCAGTCGCTTGCGACAGCAGTCAGAGAAGTATGCTTGCACAGTGCCAGAGAAAGACTTACGGAGACGAGCAATCTTTCGCCAGTTGTAGTCCGCGAACACGTCGTCCAACAGGTCGCGCCGAGCTCCAGGACCCATCTCCCTGGTACTCCCAGAAAAGCCATTCACCGCGGACCAACCGCGCTCCACGGCTTCCCCGTCGGTGCGACCTACATGCTTCGCGTAGTTAAATGAGTAATTCTCCCGGCAACTCACCTTATGAGCTGGTAGATGGAACTTGGGTATGAGGAAAATGATCCGGCGGCCAGCAAAATCCCACTGCGGATTGTACTTCCGCATGCGATCCCAGAAGTTAACGGACCACTGGCACGCTATGTCATACGACACGACCAATACGAGGTGGTCATTATCTTGAACACTTGAATGGAACACGTAGTCCGTGTTGACGTATCTGCGAGCGATGTTTGCATGGACACGCAATGAGAAGGTTCGATGAGACAGACGCACCGTTCTCCCTTTTGAAGATCGCCGACGGAGCACGGCCTCTTCATGTCATGCCGCGTACACTCGATTGTCACCACACCAGTCGCATCTGTTGTGTCTTGACCCCTTGAGTTCGCGAGCTTAACGGCGTCGTGGTTGTGGCAAGTGCTAGTTGTCTCTTGCACGAGGTCACTGTGGGCCGCCAAGTGGGCTTTGTAGGCCCTTTCTTCGACGAAGTAGGCGGCGCCACGGTTTAAACCAGGATCGTGCTCGTTAGAAGAGACGAGCCTGCGCTTCAGACGGAAATTAGCATCTATCCCCACGAACAGCCGGTAGAGCCACCTCGAACAATCCGTCAGCATGACAACAGGTACCGAGAAGTGCCAAGTGACGTACTGCTGGTCTGGTGGGGCGTTTTGCCAGTCCTCGGGGAGGTTCTTTCCAGGGTGGGGACATGCCGGACATGCCACGGCGCACTCGCCAGGCGCGGTTGCGTTGACCCCGGCAGGATCATGTCCTCGACCAGCTCTCTTGAACATCTGCAGATTCCTCCACATCCGCATCATCCGCATGAACGACGGGTACCGATCCTATGAAAGTAGCTGTAGGTATAATGGAGACGCACGCTTTTGCTCGGACACTCACCTTCGGAGGGTTGACCCCGGTGTTGTCAGTCAGGCGAGCGAGCGTCGTATGAAACTCGAACCCAGATACATTCGCTTGATTGGATAAGAGGTGGAAGTGTCGGAGCAGCGCGAAAGTGGCAGCGGTCTTGGGGTTCGTAGACGTTGCTGGAAATAGTCTTGCGCGCAGAAGCTGCACCGTGTGAGATGCCGCACAAGTGCAGCCGCAGAAGTCGAGTCCGACGCTGTGCACTCCCGAGAGGTCCAGCACTACGAAGTCGTCCCCAAATGCTCTTTCGGGGTTGATACACGACACACCAGGGGGATGACCCAGCTGTATACGAAGTCCGAGACTTTTGAGGTCGACCTTGGCGAAGAATATGCCATCGTGCCATCTCTGTGGTGTCCGTCAGATGGAAACATGCGGGTGCGAAGCCTTTGCTCACCTCAAGCCGATGGAAGGGAAGTGCCCGATGGCGATGCACCATGCAGCTCTCGCAATACATTTGGACGTCCGAGCAGTCCCGGCATCGGAAAGGCGAATGATCAGAGCTGCATCCCGCGCAATCCATATCGGAGTGTCCACATCGACCTTCGAGCCTCAGCATTTCTGCCAGCCACGTATCAATCTCAGGTGTCCATTCACGAAGTGGATGGTCCTGCAGACGGCTTTCCAGTCAGTACACCACGCGTCAGAAATGAGGATATTCTCACCCCCGCTGTCCGTCTGCGTTTGGCGTGTGTGTCGACGTAATCCGAGAGATCGTGGAACTCCGTCTCCATAGTTTCAAATGGGTCGTCAGGTGCGCCGTCGTCAAGTTCCAAGTCGCCGAACGTCGAATGGTGCTCCGGCGGGTTAGCGATGGCAGTAGAGTCGTGCGACTGTGGTACTTCAAATGGGTCCGGGGCCACCGAGATCATCAGGAAAATCCAGATTCACAAATGAGGACAAATGATGCAAAATGAGGCATAATCGTGCAAAATGTCACCTAATTAGCCGCATTAGAGATTAGATCATTTTGCTTTACCCCCTTTCTAATTAGATCTAAATGACACTCAGGGAGAACAAATTATCACTACTTCATGGAAGATATGGTCTCGGTGAGGCCATGTTATCTCACAAAATTGCATGCTATTTCATACCATAAGCATGATACTTCCCACAAACCGTGGTGTAGCAGCTGTAGTGACGTCGCATCATAAGGTTTAGGATCATACTAATCAATTGGGTACTAAAGTACTGATAGTAATCAAGTTCAGTATTAAAAGTCTACGTATGTGTAGCTCCCGCCGCCAGCGCTGCCAGTGGTAGTAGTCTACCCGTACTCGCCCCGGGTACAGACCCGTCGTAAGCTGTGAATTGCCGGGGGCTCACCTGTACCCGTACCCGTACCCGCCCGGGTACCGTACCTGTGCAGCGGATACGGGTCGTGTGCGGGTTCGCTGGTCTGCGGGTCCATGCGCGGATGGGCGGGCAGATAGGTGAGGGAGTGGGGGAGTGGGCAGAACAGCGGAGAGGCTCGCGCAGGCGGGCGGGTGGGCGAGCGAGCGATTGCGCGGGCAAGCAGGCGGCACCGGTTGTCCTGACTCCTCGCCGTGCTCCCCACCATCTTCCTCGCCCGTGCGTACTCACCATCGACTCGCGCATCCCAGCGAGCCTTTCGCCCATGCGTCTTCCCGTCTTCCCGCCCTGCGTCCCGTCTGCACGCGCCACCCGCGAGCCCTCCCGTTTGCTCCCTTCGCTCGCCGCTTATCGGCCATGCCTGCGCGCTGGGCATTAGCCCTACGCGCTCGTGGTCAATATGCGTGCGGTGCTGACTCACCTGCGCGTACGTTCGTCAGCAATGTTCTGCGTGCGGTTGCCGTGTGCATCCTTGCCTGGTTGTGTGACCGCCCGCCCGTACGCGTTCATCGGCCGTGACTGCGCAGGGCACCCACCCTCCTCTGTTCCCGCTTGCCCACTTCCCTGCCCAACATCCCATCCACCCGCGAGCTCTCCAGTCCGCCTTCCTGGCCGTCTACTCATTCGCTTTCCCGCCCGTCCGTTCGGTCGCTCGTCCGCGCGCTCGCCATCCCACGTGCCCGCCCGCTGACCCGCTCGCCTGCCTGTGCGCTCGCGCTGGTCCGCCCGCCGATTGTTCGTCGGCCGCGCCTACACGCAGGGCATTGGCCCTGCGTGCTCGCGGTCGTCGTACGCGTCGCGCGGCACGTCGACGTGTCCTGCGCCTGCCGTTAGTGAGCCCGCACGCGTATGCCTGTACTCACCTGCAGACCCTCACCCTCCCGAGGGTGGGCGCGAGAAGTCGAGGGCCCGGACACGAGAAGGACAGCGGGCTACGAGTCTACCTAGCAAGGGGCGAGGACAAGCAGCTAAGAACAGGTGGACGTGTGAGATACAGCAAGATGGCGAAGAAAGGCGGGTAGTAGGCGAGGCGAGGCAACGAGAGCGGGCGAGCTGACAGGGGTGTATGCCGGCAGACAAGACAGCAAGGACGGCGGCGGACGGGCAAGAGAGTGGATGAGCGAGTTAGCAAGGAGGCGAGCCTGAGAGCGGGCGGGCGAGCAGATGCGTGAGGGCAAGGGTGAGCAGTCAAGAATGAGCAAGCGGGTGAGGGCAGGAGGTAGGGTGAACCAGCAAGGCAAGGGCGGGCAGGGGAACTAGCGAGACGGGCACGACTGGCGATGAGAGCAGGCCAGCAGACACGCTAGTGAGGGCGAGGGCAGGCAGGCATGAACGGCGTGCAGATGAGAGCGGCGGGCGAGATGGGGCAAGCTCCTGCGCGAGAGGGCGGGAAGCATAAATATGCGGGATGCGCGGACGAGCAGACGAGCAGACTGGTGGGCTGGTTAGCAAAAGGGCGAGGACGCGCAGACAGGAACGGCTGGACGGGTGAGGCGAGGGAGAGCAGGCGAGAAGGGCGGCGAGGACGGGCGAGCGAGTGAAGAGTGGGCGAGCTCGAGAGTCAGAACAGACAGGCACGAACAGGCATGCAAGTGAGGGTGGGCAGGCGGGCGCGAGCGCGCAAGTGAATAGGCAAGAGGCTATGCCCTTGCGCGTCACGGCTACGTAGGGAAACACGGGCGGACACGATAGGGCGGCCGCGCGGGCGCGAGAGGGCAAGTGGGCGGGCGAGTCGGGTGCGCGGAATGGCGGGCAAGTTGCTCGTTGGTGTACCTACTCGAGCACGGTGACTAACAACAAGGATCGTCAGTAGTGACAGTAGGTACACAAAACAATGCTTACCGTTAGTTTCCGTCCGTCTGCCTTCCTTTTGTTCACCACTCTCGCCCCTCGTCCCGTTGTGTTTTGTCTTCCTTCGTCTGCGCTCGTTGTGCTCAGGCGTGTCGTATCAGAGCTGTTAGATTTCCAGGGGTTTGCACGATGCGGAAAAGGGAGTTGGGATAAGAGGACGGGTGCAAACCTCGCTGAAGTCCCAAGCGCCGGTTCCGGCCTTTCCCGCGCATACGTGGCTCGCACTAGCGGCAAGCGCCGGCTGTGCGACTCGCTACTTGCGACCAGCCACGACGCCTGCCCGACCGCACCTCAAGAGACTTGTGGTCTATCTGAGTCTCAGCAGATCTACTGCGCGCTCAACCGCCTCTTCTCAAAGCCGCGTGTCTCTGGGGCATGCAACTTGGCCAGGCGAACTCGGGCTCGCGCGATGCGCATCTAAAAGCTTGAAGGCTCGGAAACACGAATTCGCTTCGGTGAGTACCATCTTCCTCATCATCTCCCCCTTCCTCGTGTTACGCGTCCCCTCCCTCATTAGACACGTCTTCGTCCTCGCCACGCGTTCCCTCGTCCACACCTCCTTCGTCCAAACCACTTCTCTCTCCCCCACTTCCTCGCGACACGCCTCCTTCCTCTTCCGACACGTCTGCGTCGACGCTCGCGCCCCTGTCGCCATCCCCACGTCTCGATCACTCGACGACCACCATGGCTCTCTGCACGAGTGGCCTGCAAGACGAATCCCGGGCGGTGCGGAACTGCCGTGCGCCCGATAACGGCCACACAGTAGCCAACTCGGAACCGGAGATCGACACGCCTCCAAGTCTCGCTCTGCTCTAGGACGAGTCAACTCCGCCACGCGTCCTTCCTCCCACATGCCCGTCTGTTCAGTATGCTCGCGGGGGGCAGGAGTCTTCGTTCGACGCGTCTGCGGCACCACTACACACTCCCGAGTCCAAGCTGTCACGCCTCTTCGCGCCCGACGAGCGCGGGATGGAAGGGACAGCAAAACGAAGGATGAGGGGTGGCAATCGAATGATGACGACGAGGAGAGAGAAGACCGTGGCAAGGGTGAGCACAACAGCTCGTAAGTCAGAGGTACGCCCTTGCTGGCTCCTGAGCATGTCCAGCGCTCACCGCCCTAATACTTGTCATAGATCACTGCCCGTGCGACAGGTTATGTTGATGAACAAGTCACTCTATCGCCCCCGCTTGTCTGGTCATACGCGGCCAATTGACTGTCTGCTCACTCACCGGGCGTCTGCTCGCCCACTCGCTCGCTCTGCCCATCTACCTACTCGTCTGCCCCTTCCCTCACTCGTCTGGACGCCCGCCGGCTTGCCGCATCGTTTGCCTGCCCGTCCGCCTCTTCGTTCTCCCACCTGGCACTTATTCGACTTCCTCTCGCAGTTCTACTTACTCGCTTGCCTCTTCAATCGTACGTCTCTCTATGTACCTACTCGTCCACAGACTTGCTTGTTGACTCACTCGTCCACTCACTCATTGTAGTATCAGTCCACTTACTCACTGGCTTGCCCGTCCATTCGCAAGCCTGCTCACGCATTCGCCCATCCGCCCGCCCACATATTCGCCCGCCCGCCTGCATACTTTCCTACCCTACCCGGCCGTGTATTGCCCTGACCACGCACGCGAATATCCGCTCAACCGCGCGCGCGCCTGCATACTCATCTGTGTGTCCCCTCTGTGTACTAACTTGGTGCCCATTAATCCCACTCGTGGTTTGCATGACCCGCGCTGTTGCATAATCTGTACGGTTGCAGTCGCGAGCAATGGCTTGGGTGTGAGATGAGATGGGGATAATCAGTCGTAGAATAGCTAACATGTAGGAGTTGTCGTCATGATATTGAAGATGGCCTTGTTGACCATTGGCTGTTGCGTTGCTTAGTGTAGCATACAGCATTTGTATTCAGTCATACCACACAGCAATAGAATCATTGTTGAACTAATTGTAACAAGCATTGTGTGTGTTGTATGATGCACCACTTTAGCAACAATTAGGGAACAACCTGGTCGCTGCATCTAATAGGATCATAAATGCACTAATACTGTATCCAGTAGATGTTATTATCACAGAATTAGCTTGCAGAGTTTGGTGAGTACTCATGAGACATGTTAGCAGCAATTTGACACAAATTATTCCAAATTGCGGAATCTGGATTTTCCTGATGATGTAGGTGGTCGTGGCTGACACGCCAGTCGCCGATGAAGAGTAGTCGACAAGTCGATGAATATCCTCTTCATTGCGGGCGGCATGGATGGCGGCAGACGGCAGTCGAGGCTGCCTGTTTGCTTCGTCCTCTAGGTAATGGTGCTCTAGACCTTCACGACCTCGACGTCGCTTTCCCATGGTGCCAGTACGACAACAGCTGATGGAGACCGTGCACAGGAATCTTAGTTGAGCGGAAAATTTGAGGGAGTCACACGCGCTTACCATCAAGAGCATATCCCCCCGGCGAGTTTCGCGGCAGGCCGGTCTTCAAAGCTTGACGTGGAGCGAATGCGATAGGTGGCTCTTCGGACGTTGACAGCACTATCACCAAGCTTGTCAAAGAGGTAGTCGACGTACCACGACGGTCCTTCTCGTGCGTATCCCAGCACGCTGAAATTTAAGATAGAAGCGTGTCTGGGAAGCATAGAGCTTTCATTTGTCTCTTTATTCTGACATCAGTCTTTGAGCTGCATGCGGCCGGGGCTGCAAGTGAGTGAGCGGTTTTCTACCAATGGACAAAGTTAATTGCGTACTATTTCGCCTCGTCACTAGCCTTCAACTGCACGATCCTGTACCGACCCCTAGTAAGGCATCAGACCTCAGAATCGACGCGTACGTGCCCCGTCAAATGGTGTCACGATGCAACGAACCAGGAATGGCAGTGTCTCCCATTGGTTTTGGATGACAGGACATTGACAAGATGGCAAGGAAGCACCCTCATCCGTCCAATCGATAATCGGAGGCTCGATATAGGTACTATACGATCTGAGAAATAAGATTTGACGGTGCACTCCGGGTTTAATGCGAGCCAATCAGGTGCGACATATCGACCGCACTGATTCGAACAGGTAGGCAGTTGAACAACAAAGCGGTCTTGTACAGGCCCTGTAAATGCTATGTAGAGCCTGTGTAGGATAAGCAGACAAACTAAAAACTAGTCCGTACACTTTCGATACGATAGGGGTGGGGACAACACTAGCTGTTCGACTTCAACACCGATGTTGCGGAATCGCGTGCAGACTCGAATGCTAGTATGTACTTACTGAACGTTCAACGTGCGCGTGAACTACGAATCAAACGATGGTGACATAAGTAATTGAACTTGCTCATGTCACAGCAATACTATGATCTCTATTCGACCTCTACATTCATACATTGCCACGGCATCATTCCATCGTCATATTTTCTGTCGTACTGGTCCGCGCATTCAAGCATCCAGTCAAGTTCGACCTTCAATGTACAGATGACCTTTGCTGCCCACTCGCGACCGACAGTCAGAACAATCTCTCTCATGCTCTCGGGACCCTCTGCCCTCTCCACGGTTGTCTTCATCGACTCCCATGCCCGCAATCGTCTGTCGAGCTCACTAGTCCAATACACCACAATACTCATCTTGTCCTCCGAATCCACCCAATTCCACAGGCGCTCCATCCCCGACTTCCTAAGACGTGCGAACTGGTGGCCGTTCAATGCACGCTGAAACCCTTGCAGGTCTAGTATGTCGGGTCCGAAGAGCTCATCCATTTCGCTCCGTGCAGCGTTGTCGTAGGCTACCGGGACTTCAATGGTGTACGGGCTAGTCCACAGGCCAAGGTCGTCCATGACCTCCGATCCGTTGGGAATGGATATGTAGCACGGTTGACGAGCGATTTCTACGACATCACATGGTATCCCTGATAGCGCGCCGCGAAATGGGCTTGGGTTGCGCTCCGTACGAGCTGCGTAGGCTCGTTTGTTTTGAACCGACTTTCGTAGGCGACCCCTTATGTTGCCCTATTTGAGTGAGACATTGGTGTCGGAGACGTAGAATCTCACTGCTCTGATTGCGCATACTTCTTGCGCTGCTCATGTTTGGCTGCCTGCTTTTCGGCATTCGTCTGATATTTCGCCTTCCGTCCCATGGTCGTTGTGTGGTGCTCTGGTAGGCTGAGCTTTTGAGTGTGCTCTGGACTATTCAAGAGGGGGGACACATGGATTGCGATCGAAGAGAGTGGTGCTGAAGACGGTGCGATGCGACACGTGCTACTAGTACTACAATAGACAGGGGACCCCAAGAATGGACCGGTCACGCACTAGCGGACACTGCGAGATCAACGAGGTAAACCTAATTATGAGAAAGGTGACGAGACCATTGAAGACGATTTCCCCCCTCCCACGAGTGAGCTGCGAAGCTCAGGATATGATGGCTACAGTCCCGCTAGCAGCAGCATCCTCAAACGCAGCGAGCGCATTCCGAAACGTCGCGTAGCGGCTGAAAACCGAACACGGCACTCCAATGACTAGCGGCGAGACGGCCGTCCTGATAGAAAGCCCTGTCAGCCATGCATATGGGGCATCGGAAACTCAAATTACCAGTCAGTGAAGACACCGACCGCCTTGCCACGGGTGACAGTGTAGTAGCGGGAACGGTCAGGATTGAAGGGGACTACCACTGGCAAAGCCGCCATGATTGCGGCGCTGATCGAGGCCAATGAACGAGGCGACATCGGCATTTCACCACCGTGTACCCCGACGCCGATCCCATAGACCACAGGGGTCGGCGTGACGTCCACCCCACAGCCATTGTCAACAGGCCTGGGTACAGGCATAGGGGCCTCTTCAAGGTCAGGCACGTCGTCATCGTCGGCTTCGGCTTCATTGTCGTCGTCATCTGGGACCTCGACAACGATGGTACGGCGTGGTAGAGGGGCAGAGGCGGCGCTGGTGGTTGCTGAAGCCGGACAAGATGTAAGTGAGCGAGCGAGTTGACAGAAGGGGCATCTGGTCAGCTTACCTGTCTCCGTGTTACTCGTGTTGAACGCGGGTGCGGCTGAAGGAGCGGCGGTAAGTCAGGGAAGCACTCAAACAAGGCATCACTTACCCCTAGCCTCCGACACCTCCATAGTACACAGTGCCGCGACGAACTGTGCCGCGACGAACTGTGCCGCGACGAACTGCTCGAGGGAGAAGAGGGGCGCTGAGGAGGGATCGGCGGCCCACTCCTCTGCGCGCCGGTTGCCGTTCGCCATAGTGTAGCGAGGCAAGGGGAGGCCGGTTGGAGGTGAGTCGACTGATGAATCGACACGAGACAGTAAGTCATTTAAGCGGATCGCTGTCCACCTGTCAGAGGGTCCATGAGGCTGAGGCGGGTTGCCATGCACCTTGGGCAATCGAGCTAACCCTCTAAGTCGAACACGTTGGAGATGCTCGCTCGTTGGACCGCAATCTACACGACATTGGGTAGTATTACTTGATCAATCCAGCTTCCCCGAGTTTCATTTCCAAGAACAGTGAAAGTGCCACACTCAATCAGCCACGAAGTTTGCCAAGAATCGTGTGTCAGACTCACAAAGCAACGACGGTGTGGTGCGGTGTCTTGATGGGGCAGCTATCACCCTCACCGCGGACACCGAAAGCATTGACACTGCACGGACCACGCGTGACGAACTTCCTTGACGGCCGAGGTGCCCGCTCTAAGTTAGCTATGAGCCGTATGACAGACTTACGAAGGCTTGGTTGCATTGTATGATATCTTGATGGGGCAAGTGATGCTCTCGCTGTGGACCCTCGAAGCATTGTCCCTCCAGGGACCACGCGCGACGCAGATTCTTGACGGCCGAGGACCCCGCCTGTTGGCCAAACAGTCAGCCTTTGCCAATTCTTTATTACATTCCTGTTGTCACCTTCCGACCAGATCCGGTTGGAATGCCTCATCGAGGCGGCCAAATTCAACATAACTCATCCAACGTCACTTTGCTGGGACTGCTAGGTGATGATCCTCGTTAGCGTCGCGATGTATCTGCTACGCTGCGTTGCATGGCCGTGCGATATATGATCAGTTGCTGCTTGATGCATAACCCCGCTACCCACCCACCAGAGTTGTAATCCTCCCATCCGTCATGGCTCCGAAGGGCTGGACAACCGACGCTCAGCGAGCGTTCCTAACACTGCAGCTGCCGGAGTATTTCAAGCGCCAACGCGAGCACAAGCTCGGACACTTCTGGCCGGGGCTCTTTGCGGCGTGGTTTTCAGAGTTCTCGGAACGGAAGGTACTGTTCCCCAGCCTGGGCCTCGAAGAGGAGCTATTGGAAGAGCAGGCGCAGGAGTTAGGGAAGGCTATAGCCGGTAGAAAGAAGGCACGTACCATGTGCCCTCATGTGCCTGACATCGCTCACGTTCCGTGACAGAAACTGACGAACTGGTTCCGCAACGCCTCCGGCCAGCGATCGCGCAAGGCGCAGTGTAAGCCGAAGATCAGCCTCAACATGTTCAAACCGGCGAAGAAGCGATCGCTCAACGCCGCCGAGATTTATTCTCAGCACCATTACGATGAGAAGATCAAACCTATTGTCCAGCCACTAGTCGATGCGGGCAAGATCACCAGAAGCGAACGCCTGGCGTACTCGATGGAAACGGCGGCGGCTCTCTTAAAGAAAGAGTCGCCTGAGACTCAGGAGAAAATCGAGGCAGAGGCCGCCGCGTTGAAGGCTGCCAGGAAGTCCTTGGGTACTGCTGATCGTAAGGCTGGATTTGATGTTCATCGTTGCCAGGCGTGAGTTTCCTAGCTGTTCGTGATGCCGCATACGGGCTACTCACCGGATGATTTACTGCAGCGTCGTCGATGACATGGGCGCAATCTTGAAGCAGTTCTTCGATGAGCTGCGTGCGTTGACCGGTGGCAGCTGGATCTTCTGGACGGTGGCTGCCGGCGTCAATCCTGAAGACGGCGGTCACATAGAGATCAGCTCGTACGTACCTATTCAACCTCTTGCATCTACGCATACTGGACCACACTCACACTGACCAGGCACAACTCCGGGGCCGCCGAAGGAGACATCACGTTCAGCAAAGCGCACCCGGATGCTGTACAAGCTCTTGTCAAGGAGTTCCTGGCGTTCGTCAAGAAGGCCATTCGTATGTGTCTTTGCAGTTCACTGGCCCGCAGCGATACTGAGTCTCTGCAGCCCCAGAGATGCGTGCCAAGTGGCTCTCGGCCGGAGATCAAAATGAGAACGAAGGCGACAATACCGAGGATGTGGCCAGGAGCGAGGACGGGGATGGGGCTGAGGTCGAGGAGGAGGAAGAGGAAGACAGTGCCCATGGAGAAGAGAGAGAAGAGGGCCAGGACGAGGAAGGGGATACCACACCCGGTGCGTTACCCAATGCTGTCGGGAACGTCTGCAGAGTCTCACCTAGCCGCAGACCCCTCCATGACCAACACCACCGCCACCATCGCGACCGACGCCTCGCCCACCATCGTGACCGATGCCGCGCCCACCGTCAGGACCGACGCCGCGCCCGCCAACATGGCCGATGCTGCGAACGTCAACACAGTCGATGCTATGCCCGCCATCGCGGTTACCCCTGCCTGCGCGTCCAACGCTGCGCCGGCCGCTATGTCCTTTGCTCTGCCGGCGTCCACATCGCGCGCTGCGTGGCCCTCAGACGTCCTACCGGATGCTACCTCGGCCTCTATACCACCGTCGGCGACAGATGCAGCCTCAACGGCCACTGCCAGTGGTACATTCCCCTTCGACTTCGGCGGCTGCGACCTCGGGTCTTCGCCAGGCTACCTGGCATCAAGCCAGATGGGCGTCCCAATGCCATCTTTTGATCAGCCATTCATGCCGGATGGGGTCGCGTTCAAGATGCCGGATGGTACCCTACCCTTCGGGTTCAACCCCGCCGGATTCGTGGGGCAGCCTGAGCCCGGTTTCTTCTCGGCGGCTCTAGTGGACGCGATGGTCCCGAGCATGCAGGTCGGCTATATGGGTCAAGGCGGGTTCCACCCTCCCTCGCCCTTCGCAGGGGCATGGGCATGTACAACAGCACTGCATACGATGCTGTTCCCTCCGCTGGGCCCGTCTCTCAGCCGTTCTTGACTGCGTCGCACCCGGTGCAGAGCGTCCTCGATCCATCTGCGATGTCTTTCGGTGGTCACCAAACGATGCAAGCCATGCCTTGGTTTCATAACCCGCAGCTGCCAGGACCGTCTATCATCTCTCCGACGCCCTTCTCTTCGACTATGTGTACCAACACGACTGCGCCCGCATCTGGTGCCGCCAACAATCTCATGCCGCCTGCCCCTGTCACGGTCATGCCTAACGCGGTCTCGCCAGCCGCGACCGCCCCGTCCACGGCCCCTTCGCAATCCGAGCGCGACGCTCAGGGTGGTGTGCCCCTGCGGGACACTACCTCGACCATACTACCTCTGGCGCCGATGGCTAAGCAAGCGGTGGCTGCAACTCCATCTGTATCGGACGAGAACTTAGACCCGGCACTGCTACATGTTACCGAACTTGGGGACTCCCAGGGCGTACGTCCTCGACGTGAACACCGTCGCCTTCCAGACCGATTCCGAGACGGTTTAGACCCCTCCGCGTCACGTCGGAAGTCCCGCCCAATGTCTGGCGACGAGCAGCCCACGTCGAATGACAATGCGTCTCCTGGAAATGCAGCAGCGGCGTCCAAGAAGAGAAAGCGCGCTGAGGTCGCCTCTGCGCCTCCTAAAAAGGTTCGTACTAAGCAGTAATAGCCTGGTTCCATGTACGTGTCGTATGACTTGCATTGGACTGTGGCTTCTGGTGCCTGTATCCGTGTTCACTCTTTGTCTTCCTAACGGCCCAAGAACGACGTAGTAGCCAATCTTGGCAGTCGTCTATCATAGTACTTTCTATTGATTCTGTGTGGTGTGTTGCTCTTCGTAGTCCGTCTGTGCCCTTATACTGCGAACTGCAATACTAGGTTATAATGCTGCAGGTTGAGCTTAGTGACTGACTGCGTGATGTTGACCGTCTTGTAATCAATCTAACAACTGCATATGGTGGTCACGACTTGTACCTGTACAATGTCGAGCATGCATGTCGCATGATGCATCATCATGATACATGAACCATTCACCATGTGCGATGTACAACCGATGTACAACATTAATATAATGACTGTCTACGTCCTATTCTTATACACCCTGCGTCCACTCTGCAGATGCATGATGGTACTACATACTCCCTCTGTGCGATGTACGACCCGGGCGTCAGTACGTCGTGCACCTCCACAAGCCTGCCTCATGTATGCACAACGAAACATGATGCATAGTATGGGTAGCTGCGATGTATTACACTGCGCTCCACGTGTCGAGTCGATGATATATTACTCACTTATGACCCCGCGCAAACACCAGTACTCCGAGAGTCTGAGACGGACAAGTGAAGCGCGCCCTGTGACCTGTCTATAGTGCGAAGTCGGAAAAGGTCGCAACGTGTAACCTTGTGGTCGCACAAATACTGAAGTACACAGATTTAGACATACATTACTGTGACAGAAGTTCCTATACTCACCTGAGATGTCGTCGGTGTGCGCCCTGAGTCCCGACAAAGGCGATGTCCTGTTCAAGTTGCAGGCTGCGGCGGTGAAGGCGGCGTACGGGCAGGCCCTTCCAAAGGCGGCGACTCAATGTGGGTTCAGGAGGGTCCCTGGGAAGCGGCGGCCTGGCCGGTACGTAGGCGGGCACAAATGAAGGTGGCGGGTACTGGTCCCGACGAAGGCGACGTGCAGGCGCTGGTAGTAGGAGGAGAGGGGGAGAGGGAAAGGGAAGGATAGGGCGCATGGGGTGGGTATAAGTAATGGGTGATGGTAGGAATACCCACGTCACGTAGCCACGTGCCGACTGCCTACACCGTGTATAATGTATTGCGAGAGGGAAATGTACATCGCTCGTCGCATGATACATTGTGGTGATGACTGCAGGCACAGTACTAGGGGCCATATCATTGCACGTAATGTATGGGGAGATGGTATGGATGCATCGCATGATACATGAAGGGTGATACAGTAGGATGTATGATATGGGCCAGGACCACGCAGCGCGGTATATGTATCGCACTCGGACGCCAGTCAGCAGTATATAATGTATAAATATGCCGGAGAGGGCTGCAACACGGCCATCCTCGAGCGCATATCCGCGCAGCTCGGTAGCACGGCTACGAACGCCGTTGTCGCCGCCGCCAGCTCCTCGAATTCGGTGCCGATGCCGACGGTTCTCACGAACTCCTCATCTACAAGCTTTCCCTCGCCACCCGCTGCGCCCCGCTGGATAGCTGCGCTGTGGTTCGTCGCCCTGGTCTTCAGTCTCAGCGCGGCATCCGTTGGTTTAGCCGTGAACCAATGGCTAAACTTCCATGCCACGGAGCAAGCGGGGCTGCAAGATGCGTCCCAGAAGGTCTGGACGTGGCAGCTCCGTAGGCATGCACTGGAAAAGTGGCAAGTGGAGTACATGGTCGGCATCCTCCCGTTTCTCCTGCAGGTTGCCCTCGTGCTCTTCCTCGTCGGCATCGTGGGCTACCTCTGGGAGCTTGGCTTCGACATTGCCGTCCCGAGCACGGTCTTCGTCGGCGCCTTGCTTCTGTTTCTAGTCGTCACTTCTGTGTCACCCGCATTGGTTGGTTACAGTCCCTATAAGTCGCCGCAAACGTGGTGGATCTGCCAGGCCTGCAGACGCATGTGGTGGGCGGCTTACTGGGTCCTTCTGCGGTTATATCCGAGTCCCATGATCCTCTCCAGGCTCCTCTTCCACAGCCTGAGGATTCGATGTCTGACTTGGATTTCATCCCATCGCAAATGTCGCATATACTTTCGAATGAAGGGGATCCGTGGTCTCCTCACTCAGCGTGCATCATATCTGCGTACGTTGACAGAGGCATCTGACTGGCTCGCACATGAACAGTTATGCGTGGATGACTGGACCACCCACGGCGAAGAAACTACGCTACTCGTGGACGTTTACTCTATTGCAGATGACACAGATGTTCTTCGCGCAGTGGTGACCTGCGTGCGAGCGATGCCTATCGCCCGAGCGATCAAAGCGGCGACAGGAATCGGCCAAACTGTTTTCGAAGCCTTGTCAAAGCGACAAAATCCGCGTTCACGGGCGTCCGGGCCATCTGCTTCGGCATCTGGTAGTCAACTTCAATCTGATGTTTTGGACAGCACCTCTACGGCTTTGATAGGTCGAATGGTGCTGGAGACATTCACTCGCGCGCATACGGAACTTGATGACAGCCCTCTTGACTTGGACTCGAACCGTTGCTTAGCTGGACTTATCCGTGCTATGCCTCTCGCTGATGGAACCAAGGCCTGTATGTCTTTGTTTCAGCATTCACGCGATGATCGACTGTCCACGGAACAACGAAGAGCCACATTGGATGTTGTACAGAACATTTATGTGCCGGTCGACTTCCTCGCGGAGGACAGGTACGATGACACGATGCAGGAGGCGAGAAAATACGAGTGTGTGCCGCAGACAGAGCTATATCGTCTGCGCGACGTTCAAAGTAAGTCAAACATCCGCTTCAATCACAAAGGGTGTAAGCTGAAATTCGGCATAGACTGGAAACTCGTGCAAGCTGCACTCACGGCAGTATACGCACACCATGACCCTTTATCCACCATCCAAATCACAACAACCGTTCTGGCCATATGCATGTTGTCCGTCAAAAACGGGCACACATTGCCAGCCGAGCCGTCGAGGGGAGCTTACCTGGCCGACATGCTCCGCCGATTCGACGAGCACTTGGCTACCCTCCGCCGCAAGGAGATGCGAGACGCTGTGCAACACCTCTCTCCCGCGGCCATATGCAGACTCGATTGGGTGTTGAATCGCATGTACCACAGCGACATCTATGATTCCTTGGGTACAACCGAGATTCGCTGGGATGCCATGATGTCGACAAATCACATCGCGCGGCGACTCCAGTGGCTGCTGGAATGCGATGTATGGACGCCGCCAGGGACGGTCCAAGGGTTCTGTGTTCACTTGCACTGGTACATGAGACGGACACAACAGCACCTAGAAGAAGATCATGGGATAGACCCGAAAGACTGGTCAGTCATCTTCTACGCTCAGAACGTCAAAGACACGCTGACACTTGCAACAGGGACTCGGAAGGATGGCTCGAATGCGCTCCAGATGAGCCCGAGAGCGAAGGCAATCAACACGTCGACCCCCCGCAGACGACTGACTCAGAGTCTACATCGGAAGCTGTGGACGAGCAGGACCCACCAGAGCCACAAACGGGCAGTCCGACGCGATCTATGACCCAGCCCTTGTAAGCAGGGAATCTCACATCCCATTCGATCGTCACTGACGACCGTGCTATAGCGTTGACGCCGTGCATAGACTCGAGGGATCCACGGCGCAGGAGCCCGACATCGAGATGCAAGTCAGAGGAGCTGGTTCGAACACAACACCAGATGCATCCCATGCGACGGACACCGCGCCGCCAGCTATCAGCGGAGCCACGCCGATGACCGCTAGGACGCTCGACGTGTCCCCGCAAGAGCAGGACGCGGCCCAGACCAGCGAGCATCCGCAGCCACTAAATGCCATTGAACCGCGCGTAGACGACCTGGATGCCTCACGCGGAGTAGCTGAGCACGGCGCGGACGCGGACGAAGGTCGTCAGGGCGCGGACGCGGACGAAGGTCGTCAGGGCGGACTCGTAGGCGCGGCCGAGCACGCGGATGAACATCAAGGCGGCGATGCGCGGCCGAGTCAGGAGGGACTAGCTTCACCGGACGACACACCTACGCAACCGCCCGAGTCGCATTTCGAGTCGGCCAGCCAGAACGCACACAGCGGCTGATTCGGAGGACGAGGATGGTGGCATCGATGTCACGGTGTACGTTGTACGTTTCCGGATAGACCATCACCGCCGAATGCTGACGTTCACCGCAGGCGGACAGCATGCGCCGACTTTTGACGAGCCGTGACGATGATAGACGGATCTCTCGGTGCACGAACATCTCGGGGCTGCGACGGGCTGATGTCTCGTATGTTCCTCTTTCGTTACGGCTGTTCGTGATGCTTGTGTCGGGCTATGGACTCGGAGATCTTGATTCATATGGCTTACTGAATATTCTACGGTACACTCGCGTCCGCCGACCGGATTGTCTAGAGCTCCCGCGAGCGAGGTGTTGCTGTCCATTGTCTGTATTGTGTTGTGTATTAGTTCGTTCGGTACAAATCG